ACCTATAAGAGCAGCCAAAATCAATTGATCTTGACACTCCCAAAATTCAAAATCTGTATTTGGTACATCCTTTCCATCTTTTTGTATAACTGGAGAAGGAGGAACAATCTTTCGTTCAACATACCCAAGTAAACCATAACCTCTAAGAATCGGAACAACCTGAGCTCGCCAAGAAGGATAATTTTGTGAAGTCAATTTCAGAGGAAACTGAGAAGCATTGAACGAAACTAACGTTCGACCAGAGGAATGAATAACATTAGAGTTATTTGAAGATGAAGTCATGACGACTCACAGAATTGAAAGGAGATAGAAGAAATAAAAACCGTAAGTTTTTTACGCGGCTTGATACCATATAAGAATTTCAGAGATTTAATTTTGGTTTTTTAAGATTAATTGAAAGGAGATAGAAGAAATAAAAACCGTAGTTTTTACGGCTCTGATACCATATAAGATTTCAGAGATTAATTTTGGTTTTTAAGATTAATTGTATTTCTGTTGTACACCTCTTTAAGTAGAGGGAGCTGTTACAATATGATAAGCATAGGCAGAAGAAGATAACTACACAACAAATAGAACTTAGCTATACAAACAGAATTATAAACAGAATAAAACTTATCTTATCCGTGTGGCTTAATACAAAGTAGGAGGATAGTAGAAATTGAAAATGCCAGATTCCTAGAAAATGGCAAGTTTAGTAAGAGTAATGAACCTCGAAAGGTAGAACTTGAGGAAACAAGAGTGGATATTCTACCCCCATTTTTACATCAAGAGCTTGTAAAAATGTTGTAGAAGCAACACAAGCTGTAGCTTTGAGAAGATCTCAAAGAGAATGAAAAATAGCAATTTCTAATGATTATGTGGTGTATTTACAAGAATCTGGTTTTGATATTGGGATAAAGAAAGACCCGATTTCATTTTCACAAGCCATGGAAAGTAATGATTATGATAAATGGATTAACGCTATGAATGAAGAGTTGAAATCAATAGACCACAATGGTGTTTGGGATTTTGTTAAATTGCCTTCTAACTGTAAAACTGTTGGGTGTAAATGGGTCTTTAAGACCAAACGCAATGCTAAAAGCAATATTGAACAATTTAAAACCAGACTAAAGGTTTCACACAAAAGGAAATTATTGATTGTAGAGAGACCTTCTCTCCAGTTTTAAAGAAGGATTCTCTTAGAGTTACATCAAATGGACGTTAAAACTACCTTTCTGAACGGGAATTTAGATGAAGATATCTACATGGAAAACCTGAAGGGTTTGTAAAGAAAGGAAAAGAGCATTTAGCTTGCAAATTAAAAAAATCCATTTACGATCTTAAACAAGCTTCTAGACAATGGTATATAAAATTTAATAATAGCATTACATCTTTTGGATTTAAAGAAAACATTGTTGATCAGTGCGTATATCTGAAAGTCAGTGGGAGCAAGTTTATATTTTTAATATTATATATGGATGATATTTTGTTAGCTAGTAGTGATATTAGTTTGTTACATGAAACCAAGGAATATCTTGCTAGGAACTTTCAAATGGTTGATATGGGTGAGGCAACCTATGTTATTGGCATAGAGATCTTTAGGGATCGATCTCGGATTACTAGGCTTGTCTCAAAAAGGATATATTAATCGAGTTCTAGAGAGATTTAATATGCAGTTATGTTTGGCCAATGTTGCATCCATTCAAAAGGGTGAAAAATTAAGTAATAAACAATGCCCAAGGAATGATTTGGAAAGAGAACAAATGAGAAAAATTCCTTATGGTTAGTTGTTGGGAGCTTAATGTATGCCCAAACATGCACTAGACCAGACATTAGCTTTGCTGTTAGAATGTTAGGAAGATACTAGAGTGATCCAGGATTTAAACATTGGAAAGCAGCAAATAAGGTTATGAGGTATCGTCAAGGAACAAAGGATTATATGCTTACATATAGAAGATCAGAAAAATTAGAAGTCATTGGGTACTCAGATTCAGATTATGGTGGTTGCATTGATAGCATTAAAGTCCACTTCTGGATTTGTCTTTATGTTAGTAGGTGGAGCAATTTCATGGAATGAAGCAATCCATTATTACTCCATCCACAATGGAAGTTGAGTTTATTGCTTGTTTTGAAGCCTCGAGTCATGCTTTCTAATTGCAAAATTTTATCTCAGGACTTGGTGTTATTAACTCAATTGCTAAGCCATTTAGATTGTACTGTGATAATGCAACAGCTGTTTTCTTCTCATGAATGGAAAAAAAATACTCAAGTGGGTCCAAACACATGGACTTAAAGTATTTGGTTGTTAGAGAAAGAGTCCACAAACAAGAAGTGTCAATTGAAAATATTAGTACTGCACTTATGATTGCTCATCTATTAAGTAAAGGGTTGCCTCCAAAAACATATATGGAACATATTGTTAGGATGGGTCTTTTGAGTAATCCATGATATGTATGTCATGGATATTTTAACTTTTATGTAATTGACATGATTGTGCATTAAGAATTTGTTTCTGCTTATTCTTGTTTTTAAATTACCAGTGTACATCTGGATTGCTTGACAAATAAGAATTGTTTTGACAAAACAAATTATAGGGGTTGTTTGATTTAGAAGAGTGAATTAATGATTGTGACTAATGTATAGTACATAGAAGGGAATATGACATTAAAGACATAGGACTGCTATGACTCACATTAGTAGCAAGAATTAATTTCAGTATTGTAGTATTTTAATTTGGGATTGTTGGCTAATATCAAACTTCGTGATCACTTGTCAAATGTATTTTGCTTTAAAATTTTTTTTTCCCTTTTCATAATTAATTTGGTGAACCAAGAGGGACAATGTAAAAAAGATAAGAACAAATAATAAAGTTAACTCCCTTCATAATAGGATTCCTTGATAGATTGGAATTAAATAAAATAATAATAAAAAAGATAGTTATTAAGAAGGGACAGTTATTAAACACGATAGTTTTCTTTTAAAATAAGAAAACTGTCTTGCCCTCATCTCTCATCTATAAAAGAAAAACGAGAACATACCTTTATTAAGCTTTTTTTTCATCTATAACAGTACATACATGCTGGTTATTTAAGTAGACAGAGAGAAGAAGTGTGACAAGTAAAAAAGTTTCAAGAAAGGATATTAACCATGGCTGCATCTTCTTCTACCGGTATGTTTCTTAATCTCTAAATAAATTCTTAAGGTATGTTGAATTCAAAGATCTTTATAGTTCATTCCCATTAAAGTTATATTTTACACACTCACCACGATAAAGTTATGTGATTTCAATGAGTTTTCTCTAACTGAAAAAATAATTTTCATTCTATTTTGGTCATTTTATCATTGTGCCGCCATTTACCTTCTTTGGGTCACTAGCATATATTTCAGAAAAAGACGAACACAAATTTGAAACACAAACATTCCTCATTGACTCAGCCAAAGTTTATCCTTTTGATATCTCTTCGTCTAATATAACAGCAAATTGGAATATCACCGTCTCCATGGGCAAACTTGCTGGTTATCGGAGACGATTCTATTATGAAAATATGGAGGATTTCTCTTTTGTCGAAAAATGAGAGTGTTTATTCTACAAAGATAGGAAATCTATATGATGGGTTTGAGAGGGATAATCTTAAGGTGGTGGATGTGTTTCTTGAATCCTCATTAGCAAGTATGAACTAAACTGTAGCAGAAGCTGTTATGGCGGAGAAGAGAGAAAATGGAGTTGCGACCTTCTCTTTCGAGTTGAATTGTATTGGTACAATGTATAATTCAAAAGTTGAAAGAATAAAAAGGAAGATGAAGCTGTTATGTAAGGATTTGAAGATTAGGTTTTAATTCAATGTTATGGCGGAGAAGAGAGAAAATGGAGTTGCGACCTTCTCTTTCGAGTTGAATTGTATTGGTACAATGTATAATTCAAAAGTTGAAAGAATAAAAAGGAAGATGAAGCTGTTATGTAAGGATTTGAAGATTAGGTTTTCTGCTAATGCCACTTCTAAAGCAGGAACTTTAGTAACTCCACATAGACCAATCTTCTGTGATATCTCTATCTTCCATTGTTGTTAATTTCTCGATTTTGTCAGTTTTGGATTTACGTGGCTCTAAGTGCTTCTAACTATTTGAATGTGAATAAGATATGGAGAATTTCTCTACTTCATTAGCTTTGTAATTGTATATGCTTTTTTTTTATTTTTTTTAAAAGATATATTCTTTACTTGAATTAGAAAATTGATGGCTTTTATTTGTCAAAATGAAGCTGAATTGGAATAAAATCGGATTCATCCTGGGTTGTCCAGTTTCCGATTTCTGCGGGTTTTAATTTGTTGAATCCGATTTTTTATCCATCCGATTTTTCATATCAGAACGGATCCGATGAATTATCAGTTCGTGAGGTCCAATTAGCAAGTTCAGTCTGGTTTTGAAAACATTTATTTCCAATCTAACATCTAAACAGAAAGAAGTTGAATGAGTAAATTAGACCAAAAAGGAGATTGAGTATAGAGAGAAAAAATGAGGTTATATGTAGGCAAGAAACTGGAAAAATTATATGTAGAATATTATATATGTAGCAGTAGTAGAGAGGGAAAATTTCACAATCTGGTTTTGGTTTCTTGAATTGAAAATTTCACAATTTTCTGTGATGTCTTTATTTTTTTATTGAAATTCTATTTCATGTAAACTGAAAATTCTGATTGAATATGTTAGTTTAAATTTCTGCTGCCTTGTTGATTTTTGAGTTAATGATTTTGATTTTCTGATCTCCTCTCTTATTTTCCAACAAATTTTGGCTTGTCATAAGACATAAAACAAATAATCCATATTTGCATGGAAGCACTTCGCGTATTTTCTATTCCAACCAATTTTTTGGTGTGTCATAGCACAGAAAACAAATGAGATATATTTCTATGAAAGCTTCACGTATTTTCTACCAGACCAGACCCAACTAAACATTAAAATTTCATTGGAAAAATATATCATCCTTAGTTCATGATAACACAACTTACAATGGAAGAGAAAATAGCTGTTCAACAGGTGTTGTTCAAAGCAGATAATAGTGTTCAGAATCTGAAATTTCTCTAATCAAAATGTTGGTCTGGATTAACTACCAGTCACTTAGATATCCTGTAGTTCTTCCAATTAATCCGACTATTGAAGGAATAAAAAAAGGAATTGAGAATGAGCAGCACCTTGGATTTGAAGTACAGGACCAACAGCTATTCTACCAAAGCACCCTGCTGGAAAATAATAATGCAAGAATTGAACATTATGGAATTCAACCTAATTCTGAAATCGTTCTTCTTGTTGTGCGTAGTTAATTATATGTTTTAGATTACAAAATTGAATCTGATTTTTTCTGATATATATATAATATGAGCTTCTTGGTTTACGCAGATTAGGCGTATCAACATTTTGTTTAACTCGGCGAGGCTTACTGTGTCGATTTGGGACCAAGAGCGGGTTCTTCAACTCCAAAAAAAAGTAGCAAGAATGATTCATACAGCTCGTCTTCACGGTGTGGAGCTCCTTCACAATGGTAGCGAGTTGAAATTGGACCGAAAGATCTCAACTATTCCGATTGAGGATACTCTTGTTGCCGCTGTCTTATTTGGAGTTAAAGTTGAAGGAAAAATACTCGTTTATGAAGTAATTGTCCATAACCGGATGACAGTTGCACAAGTGAAGCAGAAACTCCATACAAAATATGGTCTTGAACCTGAAAAACTGAAGCTCCTCTGCAGTCGGTCGAGAAATTTTCTTGATGATGGTGCAACTTTGATGGATTATGGAATTCATAAAGAAGGAACTGTAATCCCTGTAGTTGGTGATATGTTCCCTGCAATTGATGACATAATTTAAGTAGATTTATGTTTGTTTTATCATATAATATTAGAAAAATAAAAGAGCTACGGATATATATGCAATTGATGATCATAATTTAAGTAAGATAGTTTTTTATCAATATATTAGAAAAATAAAGAGCTACGATATATATATATATATATATATATATATATATATATATATATATTATATATATAATTATATATATATAATAATAATATATAAGGCTTTTAACTTGTTATTAGTTTGATTAATATATAAGGCTTTTAACTTGGTTTTATTAGTTTGATTACAAGAATTAAATTTTGATGGAATGCATCTGCTGCAGCCGCTATTGTTGCTGCAATTTTTAAACTGCAGAATTTAAGTATGCTCAATTCTACTTTCAAGCTATGGATCTTAGTTTATCGTATGATTTTAAATTAGTTTAGGACACTGGCTTTTATCTTTTTCTTCTTTTTTCTCTTTTACCATGTCTATGTACTTTTTTTTTTTTAATGAAAATGGGTTCGACATGTAACAACTACATAATTTTTTTAATTTTTTTTTTTTTTTGAAAAGTCATCATAAATCAAATATAGTTGCAAATATTATACATAAATGTTCTAAGATTTTATTCAAAATTTACTTTAACTTGATATTAAAAAATGAGTGTTTTAATTAAAAATTATTTATTAATTCATTTATTTTTTATTAGATTAAATATTACAAAAAATAGATTTAAAATAATCTTTCAATTCAAAAATATTATAATAATTAATAAATAATTAAACTTAATAAAATAACACAAAACGAATATATAATATAAATTAAATCAAATACCATACATAATTGTTTATGCAAATACTAAAACAAGATTTTGAAGTATTATGTTAATAAAATTAATAACTGAAAATTTTTTTTAAGAGTATATATTAACTTATCATCACTTATTTTTATTTATTTATTGTATAAATTTCATAATAAATAAAATAAAGTTCAAACATTATAAACACTTATTTGATAGCCTAGCCTTTAAGATATGAGAGATTTTTTTTAGAGAAAGATTAATAGTATTTAAAATTTTATTACTTTGAGAGGATCTCCTCTTTTAAGAAATAATGTTGTATATATAGGGTTCTTTTTTGAACCTAAGTCGGTATCTAATTAGGAAACTGTGTATGTTCCTGATTATGATTTTATATTAAATATTCATATTAGCCCCTATAATTGTTGGAGACTTGTGTCTAAATTACCATTAAGTCTATGGTAAATGTGTATATTCCATGAGATGTCTCCTTAGTTTTAGACATTTATATTTAAATTATTATTCATTTTCTACCTATGTATTATTATTTAATTTATTTCAAAGCTCTCCTTTATTAATTGAAATTTAGAAATTAACTTTTTAAGGCATTTAGTTTTTTTTCGACTCACTTAGAATATGACGAGTTGAGTTTGTAGCACGGAGAAGGTGCTTAGCCTTTTTAAAGCACTTAACAATTTTTTGGCTCACTTAGAGTGTCGCGAATTGAGCCTATAACTCAGAGAAAATGCTTAATCTTTTTAAGGCACTTAACCTTTTTCGGCTCACATAGAATATCGCGAGTTGAGCCCGTAGTTCGAAGAAAGCGCTTAACCTTTTTAAGGGACTTAGCCTTGGAGACACTGAACACTTGGCTACTTTATAACAAATAATAAATAATAAATTTAAATTTAATTCTAATTTTTCTATTTGATACATTGCATTAAGCTACTAAATAATATAATGGCATGGTTCAAATAAATAAATAGACAAATATTAAAAAACATAAAGAAAGAAAACCTATCTCTTTTTCTTTTTCTTTTAAATACGTTCTCCTTCTTTATTTCAAATGTTTGAATTATTTGATTTTTTTTTTAAATATCAGACATTTAATATCTGACGCTTTGACTACCAAATAACATAGTTTTATAGTTAAAATAAACAAATAAATGATCAATATACTATTATCTTCATCATAAGAGGATTTAGATAATGGTCAAAAATAAATTATTAGAATAATCAATAACTCATGCCATATTATATATATCCACATTTACAAGGGTGGTAAAAATATAATCTCATTAATAAATTCTTGATATATTTAAGGCTTATGCAAGAGCATAGCACCAAGTTAAATTAAACAAGATGAATAAAAATTATACATATGAATGCCGAAGTGTATGCTTGGAATGGCTAGGCCCTCGCATGTGATTTTGAGTAAATAAAATGTAGTGATTATGCCAACAAATTTACTTTTTAAAGATTACCTGTAACAATGATTGACAAATTCAATTTATTACTCCAACAATTTAATTTATCTTCAAATTGATAATTAAAAAAAATTAATTTTGGCCCGTTCAGTCAATCAATGTTCTAGAGATAGCCTAATCCATCTCTCCCCATTTCAAGCAGCATCAAACACCTGGTGATTGATTATGCATTTGGACATTAGATAATAAGTTTCCAATGAAATCAATGCATATATACATCACCCCTGTCAAACTATATATATAGAGAGATCATGGTAAATTAAAAGCAGCTATTAAAAGCGACAAAGTTTTTGATCGATGACATATACAGAACCCCAGTGCCCCTTCAATTTGAAGGTCCTGGTGCTGATGCCAGTAACTCTCTGTGAAGAAGATCAGGATTACATGGGCGCAGGATAAAGAAATTGCATGAATACCTTGCCCAGGTGTCTATATTTAATATATTCTCTCAATTCTTTAATTGCTATTTTACATTACATGAATGTTAAAGCTAGAATGATAATTCAAGCCGATGAGATTTACATGGCGTAGACACCTAGTATTCCCAATCCCAAACAGCAGTAGTCGGTCCCCTATGCCCACACATAGCAAATTTGAGCTATGTACATGACAAATGGTTCACACAGCGAAATAAGAATGGCCAAATTCCATTGTTTGATTTTTTTTTTTTTTTTCCTATTTTCCTCTTTGCAAGTGAAAGAATTAGTATTTTCAAGACTTACTCCTTTGAACTTGTATAATGTTGTTGTATCTTGATAGATTTGGGAAAAGCCAACAGTAGTTGGTGTAAACGGAGAGAAACAAAAGAACTTAAAAGCACACTATGGCTTCTTCTTTCACAATTCATTTTAGGACCAATTTTTATACAAGTTGCTCTTAGAGCTGGGCAAAGTGGGCTTAAAGAAAAACTGAACTCAACCATCCGATTTTAGTTTATTTTCATTAAATTATACGTCGGTTTTGGATTTTTAGTATACATATAAATAATTATTTTTTTGAAAATTGAACCAAACCGACTGAATTGGTTGAATTCAAAATAAAGTTCAATTGCAGTTTGATTTAAGAAAAATGGCAATACAATTTTTTTTTTATTTTAATAGATTGGTTTAGTTCGAAACTGAAATGCCAGATTACACACCTCTAGTGTCTCTTTCTTTTTATTGTCTAGGAGATGAATTAGGCATCCCCCAATTCTGAAATTGCGTGCCTAGCCTTTATTTCAGTGTAGAGATAGAGATGAAGGAGTTAGGTGGATAAGTTCTCTATGGTTTTGTTTGCGCCCACAAGTCATTCCGACACTTCTTCAAGTATTGTAACTACTAGTTTGTGAGCTCGAGTTTGGGGAGGAGTGTTATGTTGAACATATGAAGAAGAAAAAGAAAGATGTCTTTGTTTTTTTATTGAAATTCTATTTCATGTAAACTGAAATTCTGATTATTTTCCAATAAATTTTGTTTGTCATACCATAGAAAACAAATGCTGCATATTTGCATGGAAGCAATTTACGTGTTTCGTATTCCAATAAATTTTTTAGGTGTCCTACGGGTTGTGGCTCGGCAACATAGATTGGGCATATGGAAATAGCTCTCGAGTTCCGTCCCTACTAAACGCGCCTGAATTCGGTTTCTATAGAGTTCAGAGACACAGGAGGTTTATGAAAAAAAAAAAATTGGTGTGTCATAGCACAGAAAACAAATAAAACATATTTGCATGAAAGCAATTTACGTATTTTCTACCAGACCAAACTAAACATTAACATTTCATTGAAACAATAAGTCATCCTTAGTTCGTGATAACACAACTTAAAATGGAAGACAATACAGCAGTTCAACAGGTGTTGTTCAAAGCATATAATAGTTAAGAATCTGAAATTTCTCTAATCAAAATGTTGGTCTGGATTAACTACGAGTGTATTAGATATCCTGTGGTTCTTCCAGCGAATCCAACTATACAAAACATCAAAGAAGCAATTCAGAATGAGCAGCACCTTAGATTTGAAGTACAGGACCAACAGCTATTCTACCATAGTAACTACCTGGAAAATAATAATGAAACAGTTGAACATTATGGAATTCAATCTAATTCTGTAATCATTGTTCTTCTTGTGCATAGTCTTGTAGTTAGTTAATAATTATATGTTTTAGATTACACGCAAATTTTCTCAGTTAGAATAATTCAATCTGATTTTTTCTGAAATATAACATGAGCTTCTTGGTTTATGCAGATTAGGCGTATCAATATTGAGTATAACTGGGGGATGTTTACTGTGTCGATTTGGGACCAAGAAATGGGTTTTTCAACTCAAACAAAAAAAAAAAAAAAAAAAAAAAAAAAAAAAAAAAAAAAAAAAAGGTGATTTATAAGCATCCTGATAGAATATTGCTTATTCATAATGGTGGCGAGTTGAAATACAACCGAAGATCTCAACTATTCCGATGGAGGATAATCTTGTTTGCGTTGTCTTGTTTGGAGTTAAAATTGAAGGACAAGCAGCCAGTTATGAAGTAACAGTCCATAATATGATGACAGTTGCACAAGTGAAGCAGAAACTCCATACAAATTTTGGTCTTGACCCTGAAAAACTGAAGCTATTCCGCGGTAGGACGGAGGCAACGAGAACTTGAGGATGATAAAACTTTGAGGTCTTATGGAATTCGTCGAGAAGGAACCCTAATCCGTGCACTTGGTGATCTATCTTAAGTAGATTTATGTTTGTTTTATCATATAATATTAGAAAAATAAAAGAGCTAGGGATATGTTCTATCTCTAGAGCCTGTGCTCTCTTCTCTTACCAAAAAAGAGCTAGGGATATGTTTTTTTTTTTTTTTTAAGGCTTTTAACTTAGTTTCTGAAATGATAATAATGAATATGTTACTACTTATGATATTACTGTTATTTGTAATTTGTGTCTTAAGTGAAAATAACAGTTCAGACAAGGGCAGCCTTCAAACTAGATGAAAAGGATTAGTTAGTTCTTTGACCTTATTCACGATTTGAATAAGCTTAGATAAAATTGGTTTCTGTTAAAATTGCCTTATAATTCTAAGATTCACACTACTAGTCCTTTGGTGGCTAAGAAACATGTTTCTCATGGCTTATACTAGTCTTTTGGTGGCTTGCTTATACTAGTCTTTTGGTGGCTTCAATGTTGGTTCACACTACTAGTTTTTTGGTGGCTTGAATGTTTCACACTACTAATCTTTTGGTGGCTAAGAAAATTCAATGTTGGTTGGCAATATTGGTGAGCTAACTTGGACTAGGATGACACATCTTCAACAATGAAAGGAAGACTTGAAATTTGTTCACATGGTGATACACCTTTATATAAGGCAACCTTGCTTGGAGCAAATTCATAAGATTAAACAAGTGAAATTCATCCAAGAGAGAAATCTTCCAAGAGCATTTCTCTAAAACTATCCACTTTCTTCATATACCACCTTTTCATATATATATACACTCTTGCCATATTCATTGAGTGTAATCAGGTGTTATCTTGAGTGTCTTTTGTATGGATGTAAAATCATTTGTATCTCCATATTTTTCATAGTGCATTTACTCCTCTCTCGCCCGTGGTTTTTTCCCTCTACATTGGAGGGTTTCCACGTAAATCTTGTGTCTCTTCCATTTATTATTTTGCTTCTCATTTTATCATCAATTATCAAAACTAAATATTTATTCATTACCACGCTAAATTCCGCAACAAGATCAAACCATTGATACAAAAAGAATAATTTATCTACAAACTTCTAATAATTTTGATTTTTATTTTGATTTTTATTTTTATTTTATTATTATTTTTTTTTTTTGCATTGTTGGCCTAAGTTACTTACATGTACTGGTTGCATAAAATTAATTAGGAAAACGATTCTTCGCTTCTAATGAGTTAAACTATTCATTTTATTTTTTATTTTGCCCTTAATTTATAATTACGGATTTAGTTTTTGAAGGGGGAGACAATGAAAATTTAAAAATCAAGGGTTCGTGAAATAACCCGAATTTTTATTTTTAAAGATTTTTCATTTAAATTTAATAAACCGACAGCCTGGAAAATTCATAGTAATATTTTAGTACGAGCACTGTCCTTGCCAACATTTATTCGTTCTAAGGAAGCGGCCTCTATACCATTAAAGGATGGTCGAAGGTACACCTCCATTCAAAACTCACCTTTGATGAGTTTAATTCCATCATATTGTGATTTGAAAAATTTGGATGTTTGAAATTAATGAATGAAAAGATAAAGCTGTTGTTTAGTTTGCCTCAACTCCCCCGATCTTACCGTTATACTTTAAAGATATTATGTTATACGGTGGTAATGAGACCCTAACGCTTTTGATGGATGTCAAACAAAATCTCTTGTCAAAAGAAAAATATGACTAATGAGAATAATTCAAAGGATGAAGCTGAAGGGTTATTTGGTTAGGGGGAGAACTATGGATCATGGTATGTAGCAAAGTAGAAGTAAGATCCAGATCAAAGTCTAGAGGCCGAAGATAATAAGAAATTTTTGTCCGCTATTGCAAGAAAAAAGGGAACCATGCAATTTCAGAAATGCTTTAAAGTTTGAAAAATAAGCAGCAAAAGGGCGGAAAAATAAATAATCAGCAAAAATTTCAGAAAATTCAGCTGAAAGCAAGTATTTGCTCAAAAAAGAGTCTTGAAGGTGAAAGTTTTGTCTGTTTACTGATTTTTGGAAACGTAGAATCTAAAACGGAGTGGATTCTAGATTTCCTGGCTTGTTCCTATCTACATGTGTCCCATAAAGATTGGTTTACCCGAACTTATGAAATCTGTTGATTGTGGTATTGTCTTAATGGGGAAAAATAATGCTCAGTGTAAAGTTGTTGGAAAGGAACAATAGAATTAAAAATGCATGATGGCATGATTAGAAACTTTAAACCGGTGTTAAGACATGTTCCCGACTTGAAACGGAACCTTATCTCTCTTGGCACGCCTGGAAGTCCCTTGGGTGTAAATATCATGCTGAAGGTGAGTTCATAAAGGTTCCTCTAAGGTGCCGCATATTTAAATGAAAGCTAACCAGATCTGGAAGCTTTGTACGTTGTTGCAGGGATCTACTGTTACAAGTTTTGCAGTGTATGCATTATCATTATCTATGTCAGATTCAGACGTCACAAAATTATGGCATATGCGACTTGGCCATATGAGTGAAAAAGGAATGACCATCCTGAGCAAGAGAGGTCTTTTGTGCGGTCAGAATACCGGTAAGTTGGAGTTCTGTGAACATTGCATTCTTGGCAAGCAGAAAAGATTAACTTTCGGTACCGGAATTCATAGAACCAAAGGTACTCTTGACTATATTCATTCAGATCTTTGGGGACCCTCACGTGTTCCTTCAAAAGGAGGACATCGTTACATGCTGACCATCATTGATGCTTTTTCTCGTAAAGTCTGGGCTTATTTTTTAAAGCACAAAGATGAAGTTTTTTCCACTTTTAAGAAGTGGAAGATTTTGATGGAAAACCAGACAGGGAAACCAGACAGGGAAGAAGGTCAAGCGACTCAGGACAGATAATGGTCTAGAATTTTGTGGAGGTGATTTCAACGCATTCTGCGAAAATGAAGGCATTGTGAGACACCGTACAGTTGCCGGTACACCTCAACAAAATGGCGTTGCAGAACGAATGAACAGGACATTGATGGAGAGAGTTCGTTGCATGCTCTCTAATGCTGCCTTGCCTAAAGAATTTTGGGCCGAAGCGGGCCGAAGCTGCATCTACCACATGTTATTTGGTGAATCGTTCCCCACGACACTTCAACTTGACTTCAAAGATTCCAGAGGAATCGTTTGGTCAGGTTAATCCCTGTTGATTATTCAAATTTGAAAAATTTGGAATGTCCTGCATATGCACATGTCCATCAGGGAAAATTAGAGCCTAGAGCTCGAAAATGCACATATTTATTGGTTATGCATCTTGGGTGTTGAAAGGGTAATGCGCTGTGGTGTCCTGAACTTAAGAAAGTAATTATTAGTAGAGACGTTACTTTCAATGAAAATGTGCTAATTCTCCCTGAAAAAGAAACTGTCAGTTCTTCTCCGTCTGACACAGGTGATTCAAAGAAAACTGACGAGAAGGTGGAGCTTGAGTTTGAAATACCAACTCCTAGTAAGGAGAATATTTCCTCATCTCCGATCACATCAGAGGTTCCTGATTCCATTGAACCAGATCGTCGTGAAGACTATTCTATTGCCAGAGATAGACCCAGGAGAGAAATCAAACGGCCTGAAAGATATAATGAAGGGAATTTGGTTGCTTATGCTCTTGCAGCTGCAGAGGATTTGGCAAGCTGCAGAGGATACCAAGTTGAAGGTGGAGAACCTCACAGCATACTCTGAAGTAATCTCATGTCCAAATTCCTGAGTGGGTCAAGTTTGCGATGCAAGAATTGAATCTCTGCACAAGAATGATACTTGGCAGTTGGTGAAATTGCCAAAAGGCCAAAGAGTTGTAGGCTGTAAATGGGTCTATAAGAAGAAAGAAGGCGATCCCGGAGTTGAAGATGCAAGATATAAAGCACGTTTAGTTGCTAAAGGCTACACTCAAAAACATGGTGTAGACTTTCATGAAGTGTTTTCTCCTGTTGTTCGTCATACTTCTATACGTGTACTTCTTGCCTTTGTTGCCTTGCAGGATCTTGAATTAGAACAACTTGATGTCAAGACTGCTTTCTTGCATGGAGAGCTCGAGGAGCAAATTTATATGCAACAACCAGAAGGATTTGTTGTTCCTGGAAAAGAAGACTACGTTTGTCACTTGAAGAAGTCTCTTTATGGTCTAAAACAATCCCCGAGACAATGGTACAAAAGATTTGATTCCTTTATGGTTGAACATGGGTATTGTCGTAGTCAGTATGATAATTGTGTTTATCACAAGAAGTTTTCAGATGGATCTTTTGTCTACTTATTGTTATATGTTGATGACATGAGAAGTTTTCAGATGGATCTTTTGTCTACTTATTGTTATATGTTGATGACATGCTAATTGCTGCTCGTGATAAGCCACTAAGATCAGTTGAGCAGTGAATTTGAGATGAAAGATCTTGGTGCTGCAAAGAAAATTCTTGGTATGGAGATTCATAGAGACCGATCAGCTGGAAAATTGTATTTATCTCAAAGAAATTACATTGAGAAGGTTCTTGAGAAATTCAACATGAATAACTCAAAACCTGTGAGTACTCCTCTTGCAGCTCATTTTAAATTATCATTTGATTTCTGCCCTCAGTCTAATGAAGAGAAAGAGCAATTGTCACATGTGCCCTATTCTAGTGCAGTTGGTAGTCTTATGTATGCTATGGTATGCACTAGACCTGATCTTGCACAGGCAGTTAGTGTT